TTATGACAAGGTAACAGAAGTAAGACACGAGAGAGAGGGTTGGGTAGATTGCGTTTTCCTAGACTGCAGGAAGGCCTTTGACACAGTTCCCCACAAGAGATTAGTGCAGAAGCTGGAGGATCAGGCACACGTAAAAGGAAGGGCACTGCAATGGATAAGGGAATACCTGACAGGGAGGCAGCAACGAGTCATGGTACGTGAAGAGGTATCACAGTGGGCGCCTGTTACGAGCGGGGTCCCACAGGGGTCAGTTCTAGGACCAGTGCTATTTTTGATATATGTGAACGACATGATGGAAGGAATAGACTCTGAAGTGTCCCTGTTCGCAGATGACGTGAAGTTGATGAGAAGAATTAAATCGGACGAGGATGAGGCAGGACTGCAAAGAGACCTGGAGAAGCTGGACATGTGGTCCAGTAACTGGCTTCTCGAATTCAATCCAGCCAAATGCAAAGTCATGAAGATTGGGGAGGGGCAAAGAAGACCGCAGAGTATAGGCTAGGTGGACAAAGACTACAGACCTCACTCAGGGAGAAAGACCTTGGGGTGACCATAACACCGAGCACATCACCGGAGGCACACATCAACCAAATAACCGCTGCAGCATACGGGCGCCTGGCAAACCTGAGAATAGCGTTCCGATACCTTAATAAGTAATCGTTCAAGACACTGTACACTGTGTATGTTAGGCCCATACTGGAGTATGCAGCACCAGTCTGGAACCCACACCTGGTCAAACACGTCAAGAAGTTAGAGAAAGTACAAAGGTTTGCAACAAGGCTAGTCCCAGAGCTCAAGGGAATGTCGTACGAGGAAAGGTTAAGGGAAATCGGACTGACGACACTGGAGGACAGAAGGGTCAGGGGAGACATGATAACGACATACAAGATACTGCGGGGAATAGACAAGGTGGACAGAGATAGGATGTTCCAGAGAGGGAACACAGGGACAAGGGGTCACAACTGGAAGCTGAAGACTCAGACGAGTCACAGGGACGTTAGGAAGTATTTCTTCAGTCATAGAGTTGTCAGCAAGTGGAATAGCCTAGCAAGTGAAGTAGTGGAGGCAGGAACCATACATAGTTTTAAGAAGAGGTATGACAAAGCTCAGGAAGCAGAGAGAGAGAGGATCCAGTAGCGATCAGTGAAGAGGCGGGGCCAGGAGCTGAGTCTCGACCCCTGCAACCACAATTAGGTGAGTACAATTAGGTGAGTACACACACACACACCACACACACACACACACACACACACACACACACACACACACTTGCACACACACACACACACACACACACACACACACACAAACAGCACACACACACTACTAAACCTAAGCCATAAAAAAAATGTCATGGGGGTTCAGAGAGGAAGTCGAAGGCTCAGGGGATCAGAGGAAGATGGTCCTGGTAATGAAGAATCGATGGAAGAGCAATGTAAAAGGATGAAACAAGAGTGGGAGAGTAAACTAAGTCAGCTTTCTGTGAAAATGGAAAAGAGGATGGAGGCAGAGAAGAAAAACTGCGAGTCGGAAGCTGAAACTGCAGAAGCCAGGATACGGACCCAAGAATATGAGATAAATATGCTGAAGCAAGTTACAGGGCTATTGCCCAAAGGAGACATGGCATCTGAAGCAGGTACACCCCTATTAAATGAGGAGCCCAACTGAAAGGAAGGAGACAAGACTTATGCTAAGGCCCTATCAGTCCACCAAGCAAGGTCGAGGAATCAAGAGGGAGAGCTGTTAGGAGCAGGGATAGCAGTGAGGGGGGGAAGGTAGAGAAGGTGACAGGTCCCATGCAGAGGCACGACCATGTCACCAAGAGCTACAGGAAAAAACAAGGGAGGCAATGGCTATGCACAAATGGGACCCAGAGGCACAGAGGGATTAGACAATGGGCCTCAGAAGAGTGAAGGAAGACACACAATGAAAAAAGCAGAAAGAAAAACAGGAGATTGAAAACACCATCAAAGAAATCGGCAAGGAGGACATGACCGAGATAGTAAATTTTCAGAGAATAGAGGGGTACTTGAAGGGGAGAAATCGGCTGGTCAGAATTATTTTCAAGACAGAAATGGTGTGGAACAGGATCCTGCAAGAGAAACCACGGTTAAAGGGAACATCAACATACAAGAGGGTGTTCCTAGACCACAACAGAACAAGAACAGAGCTTCAGCAGCTGAGGGAGAGGACAGAAACGAAAAGGGCTAGGAAGAGAGACAAGGACATAGTCAGCAGAATCAGCAACTAGAGCTGGGCAGAGGAACAAGTACAAGCACATACAGAATGACCCTCAGAACCCCACAGTCAAACACACTATTCCAACATGATCTTCAATCCACATCTACACCCCCACCCCACACTATGCTGTAAAAACCCACAGCACACTGCTAGGCCCCACCCCCACAGACCCCCCAGAACACAGTGTTGGAGAGGAAATTAAAGGTATGGTACACCAATGCTGATGGAATAACGAATAAGGGAGAGGAGTGGCACGAAAAAAAGTCGAAGAGGCATCACCAGACATCATAGCTCTCACAGGAACCAAGCTCACAGGAATGATAACTCATGCCATCTTTCCAATGGGATATCAGATCCTGAGAAAAGACAAAGGGAACAGAGGGGGTGGAAGAGAGGCACTGCTCATCAAAAGCCAATGGGATTTTGATAAACTGAGAGAGGAGACAGAGGAGAAGCAAGAGACTACATAATAGGTACACTTCAGTTTGGAGGTCCCAGGGTGGTAATTTCAATGGTGTATAACAAACCACAGAAAAGAAGGAGACCAAGAAAAGAACAGAATGAGAATAAGAGAGATGGCTGACACACTGGCTGAAATGGCGAGAAGGGCTCATGCGAGCAGAGCAAAGCTGCTGATTGTTGGTGACTTTAATCACTAGGAAATTGACTGGGAGAACCTGGAGCCACATGGGGGCCCAGTAACATGGAGGACTAAGAGAATGGAGGTGGTACTGGAAAACCTCATGTACCAATACATAAGGGACACCACCAGAGAGAGAGAGGAGAGGATGAACCAGCGAGACTGGACCTAGTATTCACCTTGAAAAGTGCAGATATTGAAGACATCACATATGAAAACCCACTTGGGGCCAGTGACCACGAGTTCTGAGCTTCGAAAACATAGAGTTACAAGTAGAGAGGTAAGCAGGGTGGGCAGAGGGTACTACAGAGACATGTAGAATTTCTGCACAACGTTCAGTGGGACACAGAACTGTCAGGGAAGTCAGTAAATGAGATGATGGAATGTGACAACAATATACAAGGAAGCTGAGGAGAGGTTTGCACCCAAGGGTAACAGACATAACGAGAAGGCCAGGATGAGCCCTTGGTTCACCAAAAGGTGTAGAGGGGCCAAAACCAATTGTGCTAAAGAATGGAAAAAGTATAGAAGTCAGAGGACCCAGGAAATTAAGGAGAGCAGACGTAGAGTCAGAAATAAATATGCACAGGTAAGAAGAGAGGCTCAATGACAATACAAACATGACATAGCAGCAAAACCCAAATCTGACCTGAAGCTGCTGTACAGCCACATCAGGAGGAAAACAACAGTCAGGGACTGGGTAATCAGGCTGAGGAAGGGAGGAGGGGAGATCACAAGATATGACCATGAAGTATGTGAGGAGTTCAACATGAGATTCAAAGAAATGTTTACAGAGGAGACAGAAGGGACTCCAGAAAGACGGAGAAATGAGGTACACCATCAAGTGTTGGACACAATACATACAACCAAGGAAGAAGTGAAGAGCCTGCTAAGCAAGCTAGATACCTCAAAGGTCATGGGGCTGGACACCATCTCTCCACGAGTCCCGAGAGAGGGAGCAGCGGTCCTATGTGTAGCACTGACAACACTCTTCAACACATCTACCGAACAAGGCGAAAACCTGAGGTATGGAAGACAGCAAATGTAGTCCCAATTTTTAAAAAAAGAGACAGATAAAACTATAAACTACAGACCAGTGTCACTGACAGGTATAGTACGTATAGTCATGGGGAAGATTATCAGGAAAAGAGTGGTGGAGCACCCAGAAAGGAATGAACTGTGTCACAAACCTACTGGAGTTCTATGACAGGGTGACAGCAGTAAGACAAGAGACAGAGGGGTGGATAGACTGCGTTTTCTTGGACTGCAAGAAGGCTCTTGACACAGTTCCACACAAGAGATAGGTGCAAAAGCTGGAGGAGCAGGCAAGTATAACAGTGAAAGCACTGCAATGGATAAGGGAATGCCTGTCGGGAAGACATCAGCGAGTCATGGTACGTGACGAGGTGTCAGAGTGGGGGTCTATGACGAGCGGGGTTCCAAACAGACAGCACCGCTCCTAGGACCGGTGCTGATTATGCACAGCATTTTTGGCAACTTAAAATTATCCCCAGGACGTGACCCACACCACCTATTAACAGCTAGGTGAACAGGGAAAGCAGATGTCTTAAAACACGCCTAAATGTTGTCACCCGTACTAGGAATCGAACCTCGGGCCTCAATGTGAGGTGAGTGCGTTACCATCCGAGCTACGGGACACCATCAGATCAATTTATCTCTTGAGTTTCTGTCACCATGCTGGTTATTATTGAACAGTAAAAAGTATTTATTACACTTTTATTATTCGTAACTTACTCTGTATGATAATTACACTTAAGTGTTCCTGTATCTAAATAAACTTAATGCTACCCATGGAATAAATTTTATCTCAACTTAATAATAATAATAATAATAATAATAATAATAATAATAATAATATTGGTGATAAGTAAGTATATTTAGGTATAAATGTACATAAGTACAGTTATCATACGTAGTAACATGTGTAACTCATCCTCCAGGATAACCCAGAAAGTCTGGCTAAGTGACTTATTTCCATTGGGATTCTTATATCTTATTATTCAAAGCTTAAAAAGTGAAAATCAGTTATAATCAAAGGAGACAAACTAGGAATAAGGTAAAGTGAGTTATTTACAATTACTTATCCTAACTTACTAACCATAGTCTGGATTTGGAGGAACAGTTTTAATTCTGATGTAGTTGCGGAAGTTGGTAACAGCTGGATGTTCCATGGATGCTGAACGAGGGATGAGCAGAGTAAATGTAGTGAGAGATTAACAACTGGTGACCACTCTCTCTCTCTCTCTGAGAGACGCAGACAAACTGCAGTAAATGTAGTGAGAGATTAACAACTGGTGGCCACTCTATCTCTCTCTCTGGGAGACGCAGACAAACTGCAGTAAATGTAGTGAGAGATTAACAACTGGTGGCCACTCTATCTCTCTCTCTCTGGGAGACGCAGACAAACTGCAGTAAATGTAGTGAGAGATTAACAACTGGTGACCACTCTATCTCTCTCTCTGAGAGACACAGACAAACTGCAGTAAATGTAGTGAGAGATTAACAACTGGTGACCACTCTCTCTCTCTCTCTCTCTCTGGGAGACGCAGAAAAACTGGTCAGGTAAGAATGTTGTTTAGTAAACTTACTGTTCAGTGTTGCCACCTCCTCCACCTGCACTTACGTTTTCTCTTCTTATTTTTTTTTAGTTCCTTCTCTTCGTCCTCTCACTTCAGTTTTATTTCTCTCTCCTACTGCTCATTTTTGACATTTCTCACTTCATACGTGGAGTATACCTGAAGGGTGTTCTGGGGGTCAACGCCCCCGCTGCCCGGTCCATGACCAGGCGTCGTGTTGAATCAGGATCTGATCAACCAGGCTGTTACTCCTGGCAGCATGCAAACCGGCTTAAGGCACATTTGGCGGGTGACAAAACGAACAAGCGCAAGGTGCCTGTGAGAGAATCCAAAGGTGATGTAGAGGGGGTTAAAAGGTACATCTTTCAAAGTTCAAACCTGATAGGACTGGTTAATAAGAACAAAGGTTATCTGTAAATAGGGTTAGGAGCAGGATCATATAAGGAGAAGAATAGGTTGTGTTGGTCTGCGAATGTCTTCGTCAATGACTGAGGTCCAGTAGTCGTGTCGTGTCTCAAGTTTGTCTATCTGTCTGTCACTGAGCGTCTTCCAGTACACGTTCAGCGCAGGGATGTCTAACTGGTCATGGAGAAACTCACTAGTGGCGAAGTCCTCCCATCTGACATCAAGCACCCAGCACCCAGCCTTGTTCTGAATACGCTGCAGTTTAACTAAGTTTGTCTTAGCTGTAAGAGGAGAGTAAGTAATCAGAGGACTTATTAGGGTTTTGTACAGGTGTAGTTTGGGAGGCATGTTGCAGCTTGTAGAGACCTGCAAGGGCTTTACTAGCTATGCGAAGGTGTGTCCTTGGTGACACAATCTGTCACCAAGGACAGTGACAGATTGTGTGATGGGGATGTAGGTGCGTGTGTCAGCTGTTCTGAGCTCGACAGGTAATGAAGGATCACGTTTCCTATAGTTAAAATATGTAATGCTGGATTTTGCAATATTACATATTTCCCAGAAGGCTATCCTGTCCACCTCATTTTGTGTTTTGTGCGTGAGTGTATCTATATTGGCGTGAGTGATGAGTTGTGTAATGTCGTCTGCATAGGCTAGTGTGATAGAGTTGTGGTATACAGGCGTTGGAATGTCGTTAGTGTATAAAATGTAGAGGGTAGGGGAGAGGACAGATCCCTGGGGTATTCCAGCATTTAGTGTGAAGTAGTCAGAGTAACAGCCTTGGAATTTGATTCTCATGGTGCGGCCGTCTAGGAAATTGCAGAAGAGTTTGTGAGTAGTGAGAGGCAGGTTAAAGCTAGTGCAGAGTTTGTATTTGAGCCCTTCGTGCCAGACAGTATCAAAAACTTTTTCAACGTCTTTTGCATCCAAGGCTGTCCTGCTTCTGTGTTTTGTGTTTATGTGGATGCAATTGAGAATGATGTTAATGACATCTTGTGTGGATCTGCGAGTTCTGAAGCCAAACTGGCCATCAGAAAGTAGTGAGTTGTGCTTCAGGTATCTGCGAAGGCGATGGTTGATCGATCGCTGATAGGGCGATAGTTCCTAGGGTCAGATTGGTCTTTTTTGGGTTTGGGAAGAAGCATAGCAGTAGCAGCTTTGAAGAGGGAAGGGAAGTGTCCAGAGGCAAGGGAGGCATTAAGGAGGTTTGTGTAGGATAATATGGTTTAGGCCAGAGGCACCAGGATCCTTAGGAGGAAGGTGTCTGAGGAGAGTTTTAATGTCTGTGTTGGCGAAAGGAGTGTCGAGTTCTTGGGAGGAGGTAAGAGAGTCCAGATGGATGTGACTGTCTGGTGTTGTTTCGTGTGTGTGTGTGTAGTGTTCCAGTGTTCTATGTTCTGAATGTGTTGAATAGCGTTAGGGTGAGGTGGGTGAGGGTGGAAGATGTTCTCCAAGATGTTTTTGAAGATGTTAGTAACAGCCTGCGGGTCTGAGATGTGTGTGTTGTTGTGGGTGATGTGTTTGAATTTGTTGGTGGGACTTATTTGATAAAGTTCCAGAAGGCTTTAGTGTCTTTAATACGCTGTTTGTCCGCTTGTTGTATGAGTTGTGACCAGTGATTGTTGCGGTCTTGGTCTAGGCTGTGTAGAATGCTGTTTCTGATGTATGTGAGATCTAATTGGACTTTATTAAATTTGTGTGTGTTGTAGAGGAAGCGGTTGTGGTAGCAGATCATTAGTCTTCTTGTTCTGATTGAGGGTTTGAAGGAATAATGAGTGGTGTGAGTTTTCTTTGGCTGCTTGTGTAATGGTGTCCTGGATGAGAGCGAGTGTCAGTGTCAGAGACAGGTTTGTTGTTGTAATCATAGGTGAGGTTAGTATTGTCTATGCGTTATTTGAAAGCATCCCAGTCAGAGTTCTTGTAGGAGAAGGAAGGTGTGGCTGGGATGAGGATAGGGTTGGAGGAGATGTGTAAGATGACTGGGATGTGATCAGAGCCTGTAATAGGGCCAGGTGAGATGTGTTGAAAGAGTGAGTAAGCTCTGTTTGCC